CGTGCGCTTGTCGGACAGAGACAGAGAGACAGAAAGCGAGAAATCACCCCCAGGGGGTATGGTCACGCCGCAATCCCTTCTCCTCCATTCTCCCCTCGGGATCTTGGGCATGCACACACACATGCCCTGCGTGAGTTTTAAGCCACTGGGTCCAGGACGCGAACTGCGGTCGATTATGTGGGAGTCCAGCGACATAGCCATTACCCTAACTGCTGGTTCCCTCAACGAGCAATATAATTGTATCGACCTGTTAATGTGCTGTTAAGGGAATCTCAATTTTCTGATGTTTTTGCCTCATTGAATAACTTAGAGGATTTGTGATTGTATATAGAGTCAATATTTCTGTTTTCTGAAATTGGACACCTTATTAGCTGGTATGACTGTGGTAAAGAGATGATAGACCCCGGGAACCAGCAGTTAGCATAATGGCTATGTCGCTGGAATCCCACGTAGTCGACTGCGGTTCGCATCCCGGACCCAGTGGCTTAAAACTCATGCTGGGCGCGTGTGCGTGCGTGCCCAAGATTCTGAGAGGAGAATGGAGGAGAAGGGATTGCGGCGTGACCATACCCCCTGGGGGTGATTTCTCGCTTTCTGTCTCTCTGTCTCTCTCTGTCTGTCTGGCGAGCGCATGTGCCCTGTAGCGAAAACCTCTCAAAAAAAAAAAAGAGATGATAGACCCTGTCAATGTTGAATGTGGTTTCTGGAAATGGATTTCAATCCTGGAATGACTTAAGCAAACTACTTACTCCTCTGTGACTCCTTTTTTGTTTTTTCCTTCTGTGAAAGTGCTTATAAAATGCTGTCCTGTTTTAGGATGCTATAACCAAAATATCATAGACTGGCAGCTTAAACAACACGTTTTCTTTTTTTTTTTTGGAGAGGCTTTTGCTATAGGACGCGTGCGCTCGCCAGACAGACAGAGAGAGACAGAGAGACAGAAATCGAGAAATCACTTCCCAGGGGGGATGGCCACACTGCAATCCCTTCTCCTCTATGCTCCTCTCAGGATCTTGGGCACGCACGCACACGCCCGGAGTGAGTTTTAAGCCACCGGGTCCAGGACGTGAACCGCGGTGGGCTACGTGGGAGTCCAGCGACATAGCCATTATGCTAACTGCTGGTCTGGTCCCAACAACAGGTATTTTATTTTTGACGATTCTGGAGACCAGGAAGTAAGATCAGGGTACCAGCCGATTCAGTTCTTAGTGGGAGTCCTCTTTTTTTGTCTTGCAGAGGGAGGGCTACCTTTTTGCTGTATCCTTACATGGCAGAGAAAAAAAATCTATTGTGTCTCAGTTCTTTTAAAAGGAATAATTAAAAAAAAATATTTAATTCCATTTTGTTATTAGTATTATTATTTTTAATTTGACCAGAAAAAGAGAGAAAGGAAAAGTGAAAAAGCAAGCAAGTCCAAAGACTTGAACCACAGTCAGCTATATGGGAGTCCAGCACCTTTTAAGTTTATTACTTTCTGTTTTTTAAGAATATTAAGCCTTATGGGGACCAGCAGGTGGCATGGTGGTTCGGGCGCTGGACACTCTCACATGGCTGATCACGGTCCAAGTCCCGGACCTGGTGGCAAGAATATTAAACTTACTTTAATTTGACCAGAAAAGGACAAAGTATGTGTGTGAGAAAGAGGGATAGCGAGACCAAGCCACTGGGTCCAGGGTTCAGCCACGTGGGAGTCCGGCACCCTTAACCACATCACCACCTGCTGACCCCTATTTATTATTATTTTTAAATTCAACCTCTTAGAGAAAGAGAGAGGGAAAGTGAGAAGTCTAGCACCTTCACCACCTACCAGCCTGAGGGCAATAATTCTATCCATGGGGTTTCCACCCTCAACCTAATTACCTCCCAAAAGCCCATGTAATACTGTCACTTAGGGATTAGAGCTTCAGCATGAATTTGGGGGGAGAGACAGTTGGTACAAATGCCAAGCACAGGGTGACTGTTCAGTAAATGTTAGCTATTACTATTATCACAAAGTGAAGATCCAGTCATGGTACAACACACCCTCTCCCGTTGCCAAACTACTCCAAGTAGGAGATATAGGGAGATCTGCTGGAGGGGTTAGAAGAGAAATCAGGAGTGGCTGTTTTCCTCCCTATCTGAAGGCTAACCTTGTTGGGTGTAATATTCTTGTTTGAAACTGTTTTTCTTTTAGTGTTTTGAATATTTGCCCAATTCCTTCCTTGCTTGCATTGTTTAGTTGAGAGGTCTGACATTAGTCTAATAGGATAACCTTTGCCATCGGGCGGCTGGGCGCCACCATGCCCAAATAGGATAATCTTTGTAAGTAACTTGATGTTTCTCTCTTGTCACGTTTAGAATCTTTTTGTTTTGTTTTGTTGTTCTATCTTTTTTTTTTAGGGTTTTTGCCATAGGACACATATGCTTGCTAGAGAGAGAGAGACAGAGACAGATAGAGAGGGAAAGTGAGAAATCACTCCTCAAGGGGATGGCCATGTTGCAATCCCTTCTCTACTTTCTTAGGATTTTGAGCATGCATACACATGTGCTCAGTGTGGTTTTCAAGCCACCAGGTCTGGAACCATGGTCAGCCATGTGGCGAGTTCAACACCTTAACTACTACGCCACCTGCTATCCCCAGAAATGGATATTTGAAGAAATCAGGATAATTACTCAGGAAAAAGCAATAAACTCTGCAGTAAGGAACAATTTGCACATTTTTCTGTTTTTGTTTCTTTTTGGAGAGGTTTTTGCCATAGGGAGCGTGCACTCTCCAAACAGACAGACAGAAAGCGAGAAATCCCCCCCCAGGGAGGATGGCCACACCGCAATCCCTTCTTCTCCATTCTCCTCTCGGGATCTTGGGCACGCACGCACATGCACCCAGCATGTTTTAAGCCACCAGGTCCAGGACGCGAACCGCGGTCGACTACATGGGAGTCCAGCAACATAGCCATTACGCTAACTGCTGGTCCCAATTTGCGTGTTTTTCTATTTTGTACCTATACATGTTGAGCTTTTTGAGTCACCTTGATAGTACTTGCTAGTTCTCTGTAACTGGCTAAAGAAATAAACTCCCTTCTTCTCCAGCCTCTGCCTCCGTTTTCACCAAGCATGAGAAGCAGCAACCTGGCTTAGTTGGCTAACAACAGGATTTATTGGGGCTGGCTGGTGGCATCATGGTTAAGAGTACTGGACTCCCACATGGCCCACTGTTCAAGTCCCAGACCTGGAGGCTTGCTTTCTCTGTCCCTCTCTGGTTAAATTAAAATAAGTAAATAAAGTTAAATAAAATTATTATTTTAAAAAAAGAGACCAGCAGTTAGCGTAATGGCTGGCGCTGGACTCCCCGACCGCCGTTCAAGTCCCAGACCGGGTGGCTTAAACTCATGCCGGGAGCGTGTGCGTGCGTGCCCAAGATCCTGAGAGGAGAATGGAGAAGGGATTGCATTGCGGCATGGCCATCCCCCCTGGGGGGTGGTTTCTCACTTTCTGTCTCTCTGTCTGGCGAGCATAGGCGCCCTATAGCAAAAACCTCTCAAAAAAACAAAACAAAACAAAACAAAAACAAAAAAACCAGGATCTATTATGGCTCCCATAACTACTAGGCTACAACCGGCCAATCACAGGAACTTCTGACTTGTAGGCCATGAAGGCTCTCCTGACTTCCTTGCCTGTTTAACACTAGAACTGATCTTCTAGAAGATGAACAAGGGATGCTGACCTCAGACCTCCCCCAGGTCTCTCACATAGAGAACTGTTACTGCCTCACTTCAACCAATGGTTTTTGGCACCCAAGTAAAATGAAGAGGTTTTTAAGTCACAGGAGTAAAAGGACACATCAGAATTGTCTTCAGTCCTGCAGCTGGCAAAATTCCCGAGACTCTCACCTGTAGGGTTCAGGTGTTGGGCTGTAAGCAAGATATTTTTTTATTAACTCCCCCCCCCCTTATTATTTTGAAAAACCCTAAAGTGTCAGCCAGAAGCACAGTGGTTGAGGCAGTTGGATCCCGTATAGCTGACTATGGGATTTCCTGAACTGTGTCTTGAAAAATACTCTGGTGTGTGGAAGCATGCCAAAATCCCGAGAAGAGAATGGAGGAGAACCCCCCCCCCCATGGGGTGGGGTGCATTCTCTGTCTCACGCACACATCCTATAGCAAAATTAAAAGCAGAGTCCAGAAGTGCAGAGCTGGGCCAGCTGAACAGGACAGGGGCGAACTTGAGCCTGATCGCGGCTAACAGGGAGGCCCTAGGAGGCACCTACTCCCTTCTTCCCTTCCTCCTCCTGCCCTTTCTCCCATAAAATCCAAGACAACAAAAAAGCAAATCTCAAAACGCCAAAGATAAGGGACTGCAATACTGGGGTGTCCAGGTAAGGAATTCGGGTGCTGTGTGCGCTTTCCACATCGCGGTTCCAACCGCAGCCCCCAGCACCTAGCACCTGCGTCCTGGATCTTGAGCAGGAGACCCGAATTCTGTGCCTTTTCCGCCCAGAGCCTGACACCTTTCCAGGCTCCCGGCTCCCGCGGTCCCGCGCCTGCGCACTGTGCGCTGCGCGTAGGCGGCAGGGGCGGGACGGCCGTAGGCTCCGCCCCCGGCGC